AGAAATAATTTTTTTAATAATCCCTTTTTCACTCGACATACTTTACCTTAATCAGGATATTAATAAGGAAACAGATGATCATGTAGCTTTTGGAAGAATCCGCCAACTTTTTAAAATTAAACACTATCAAAATATTTACATCGAAGCATTTTTTTTTATAGTGATTTTAATCACTCTCAGATATCATTATACTTGATCCAACTATGCCACGTCACCACTGTGCCACGACCCCCCTGTGATGGTTTTTTTTTTATTTATTAAATAATAAGAATTTATTTGTTTAAACATCTCGTTAATAACAAAGTTAAAAATCAACCATTTATTACTAACTTATCTACTACTAACTTATTAGAGATATACTTAAAATTTGTGTAGTTTTATATTGCCAAGAACTATCTTACAATTGCATATTAATATCCCTATTAAAAACCCATAATTATCAAGAATCATTTTTTATATTTATAATTTTTTTATGTTAAAAAAATACAAATTGAATAAACAATAATTACAATATAAATTCAAAATTATACCAAAACTCTACTCGTTATCAATGTTTAAATATGAACAAATTTTAATAAAAAAAAAATGTTTCATCATATTTATTTTATATTTACACGTAAATTTGCTTAGTTCAATTAAAGATATAATAAAAATTGATCACTTGTATTATTTTTTTTTTTGTTGTTGATTTAAAGTGTAAAAAATAGAGACGCTGAAAAAAAATAATCATATGATTTTTTATTAAAATAAGTATCAGAATAAATTTTAATGTTTACTCTTTATTTAAAAAAATAATAGTTAGAATTTTTCAATTTATACTTTATTTCAATCCGTATATCCTTTATTAATAATTATATCATAATAGATATTTTCAATTTGTCTTTCATTGTATACAAAACCAAGTTCTGTGTATTTTGTTTCTATAATCTGATCAATAAAATCATCAAAATATTCCATAAGAAAGCTTAAATAACATTGTGTAATTCCTTTTTTTTCTTTTAATTTTTCGAAATATTTGTTGTAATCATTTTTAAAGAGTTTATTTTTATCTGGTATATCGACGTTATAACTACACAACAGAGAATAGAAATCTTTGTTAAACTTGAGTATAGAATTCAAAAATAGATCAAGTTCATATTTTTTATCAACAATAACATTGTTTACTTTTTCGAATAATTCGTCAAACTTCTCAAACACCGATATCATTACATAATTTGCTTCAATCGTTGACAAAAGTTTGATAAACTTTAACGCACTTAGAAAATATTTTACCAATTTCTTGGATTTTGTGAAGTTCGACTTTACCGTTATTACACATTTTTCAAACAATTCATCTGACTCATCACTTTTTACCTTTGAATGTTCGAGGTTACATAAATCGATAAACTCTAAAAAATATACAATGACTGAATACAAAGCTTTTGCGTACTCGATGTTTATCAATAGCACAGCCTGCGGATATTTTGTTACATAATTATCCTTATCAACACGATTTTTCTCTGATAGATCTTTTACGAATAAATCTTCTAGTACAACGTCCACTTTATTTGGAAAATCATACAAGGATTTTTCTTCTATATGCCACTTGGTCTCCATGAGTAATGAGTTTAAAAATTTTATGACACTTTCTTCATTGTTAATCGTTGTTCTAATTGTACTACAAAACGTTAAAAAAAATACCGAAGCGACGTAAATTTTCATTTTAGTGAAGTATTTTTATTAAAATATACAATTAACTTAAGAATTATTTTATTACAATAAATAGTATTCAAAATTAATGATTGGCGAACAAGAAATTTTTTTTTTTTTAAGTTCAAATCTTGGTAATCTGTATGTTGTGTTTGACGTCAGTCTTTTCTATTTTAAGTACATTTTATTCTATTTGTTGAATATAACAAATGTGATCACGCCAAATAGTATAATCAATTTATGAAGTTTTTATAATTTGTATTAATAACTAATGAATAAAAAAATTCTGACTTCAAAAACACAGAGCTTAAAATTTAAGAGTGCACCTGGAATGTACTAAATTTACTATAACATAGACTACAAAATAGTTAGGATCATTTTTGGTCTGAAAAAAAATTGTTAAGCTTCAATGCGTAATTGAGAAGGTATTTACTATGATGGGCATTTTTTCATGCTTATCTATGAAAATTCTGAACTCTCACTGGACTGATTATTATGATTAATACGTCAAAAAAACCCGATTTGAATCTACTGTTGGAAAAAAATCCCTTAATTTCATAAATATCTCAAAATTACGTTGCCGTAAAAAATAGAATTTTTCAATTTTTTTTCTGCATTTAATAACTGCTATAACTTTTTATTTAAATATTTAAATGAAATTCTGCGTTCTTTAAACCTATATCAAATTTTAAAGCTATTTAATAGTACTTTATGATGAAAAAAAAAAAATTTTCTTACGATAATTTTTCTATAAGTTATTTGACTTTAAATCAAAAATAGCAAGATTTCTGTAAAAATTACTATTTCATATTTCTATAAATTTTTTTTTTTTTTTTACATACTGATGAAAAGAGACGTTTAAAAAATCATAGAAAGTAAGAAAAATCAATTCAAAGTATGGCAGTAGAGCAAAAGCATAGAAAAGTGAATAGAGTATAAATGCTTGTTCAAAGAAGCCAAGTGTGCAGTAAGTAAGGCGAAGTTAAAGAGGTATGATGAGTTATGATAGGCTAGGAACAAAGGAAGGCGATAAAGAAATTTATAGATTTGCTAAAGTAAGAGAGAAAAGAACTAAAGATTATCATTATATAAGGTGTATAAAAAGTGCTTATAATAGGGTACTCTCGAGTGATGATGATGTGAAAAGAGGTGGAAAGAGTATTTTGAAAAATTACAGAGTGAGGAGTATCCAAAAGAGACATTAGAGGATATTTTGGCGAATGAGGATCTGGTAGATTTAATTAGTAAGAAAGAGGTATCGGAGGCTGTGGCATCAATGAAAAAGAATAAAGCAGTGGGACCAGGTAAAGTGTCAGTAGAAGTATGGAAAATATTAGGCGATGTTGGCATAAGGTGGTTGAAGGAACTTTTAAATAAAATATTATTAGAAAGGATAATTCCAAATGAATGGAGGAATAATATTGTGGTGCCGATATTTAAAGGTAAAGCTGACATACAGGAGTGTCGAAATTATAGAGGCATAAATATGAGTCAGTACGAATAATTGGGAAAAGGTAATAGATAAGAAAATAAGAAATGAGACATCGGTATCTAAAAACCAGTTTGGATTTATGCCTGGTAAGTCAACAATGGAGCCATTATTTTGTTTGAGGCAACTAATAGAAAAGTTTAAGAAAAAAAAGAAAAAGCTTTGTATGGTATTTATAGATTTGGAGAAAGCGTATGACAGAGTACCGAGAGAGGTTCTAAAGTGGACATTAATGAGAATGAGAACCAAAAAAGTACATTAATATAATAGAGGATATGTATGATTGCAATAGTACCAGGGTATAAAGTGTGGGAGGAGATACGGAAGGTATTAGTGTAAGGGTAGGAATGCATCAAGGTTCTGATTTAAGCCCTTATTTATTTTCTATAGTGATGGATGAAATTACTAGAGAAATACAAGGAGAGGTGCCGTGGTGCATGTTGTTTGCTGACAATATACTGTTAATAGGAGAAAATAGGAAGGAAATTAATCAAAGGTTAGAGGTGTGGAGATCAGCTCTTAAAGAAAAGAGTTTAAAAATAAGTAGGAGTAAGACAGAGTATATAGAGTACGAGTTTAATAAAGGAGAACACGATGTAGGTGAAATAATGTTGATTGGAGAGGTGGAAAGTTTGAAGTATTTAGGATTAGTTGTGAAAAAGAGCGGTGGTATTGACGAGCATGTAAGATACAGGTTTAAGTGCGGGTGGTTGAAGTAGAGAGAAGCCTCTGGGTCTTATGCGATAAAAGAATTGCAATGAGGCTGAAAGATAAATTCTGCAAGACTGTAGTGATGCCAGCTATGATATATGGTTCAGTGTTGGGCGGTTGATAAGAAAGTAGAGCAGAGAATGAGTGTAGCAGAGATGAGAATGCTTAGTTGGATGAGTCGAGTGACTAGAGAAGATAGGATAAGGAACGAGCATATAAGAGGAAGTATAGGTGTAGCGTCAATCGTGGATAAGATAAAAGATAATAGACTTAGATGGTTTGGTCATGTTATGAGGAGAGAAGAACCGAAAGCCGTAAGAACAGTTGTAGAAATGTATGTTGAAGGAAGAAGAGGTAGAGAAAGACCAAAAAAGAGATGGAGAGATGTTATTGAATGCTGTATGAGAACAGCTGATGTGAGCGTAGAGGATGTGAAATCGTGTCAAGTGGAAGATTAGGATAAGGATGGCCGACATCAAGTAGTTGGGACTAAGGCGAGGAAGAAGATACTGATGAAAAGAGACCATAAGCTTGCTTTTGATATAATTTTTATAAAAATTAAACAAAATCACATTATTTTTTTCATATAATAAAATAAATAAATTTGATTTGGGGTAAAAATCCAATACAACTTTTTTTTAAATATTTGAGGTTTATAGATTATTTTATTAAATTTGAATGATAAATCCAATAATTTTTACTTCAATTTATTTTGTTATTTATACCTCTATATATTTTTTTAATAGTTTTTCTTGCTAAAATTAAATAATAATTAAAATAAATATAATAATATACAGTGTCATAACAATAATATAAATACTATACAACTTGATTTTTCATTTAAGACAAAATGTTAACAATAATATAGTATTTTGAACAAATGTTTATATCATAAACTTAGAGAAAGTTTTACTTTCATAAATTTACCGTATATTACACAATAGATAAAAAAAATTAAACTCAAAAGACAAAATAAAAATTTTGAAATAACTATAACAATTTTTTTTATTTTATAACTAAATGATAATTGGCATTTACAATTTAATATGTTAATGTGCGCTGTGAATACCAATTTAAAATAGAAAAATTAATTATTAACTTACAATATAGGTCAATAATCAATTTTTATTTACATTAATTATTTAGTTTTTGTTTATAAAAAAAAGTACAATATACATTAATTATAAACCAAAACTGATATTATGATTAACAATAATTAGTAATTATCATTCATAATTATTATGATTGTTATGAATTGCAAAATATACTAGAAAAATTATGAGTATTCTCAAAGTGATTTTGGTAATGAAACCAGAGAATCAACTACTTTATAGATAGTTGAATGTCGAATATCAGTAGCATTAATAAATTTATAGATCTTTTTTTTTATACGGCTCACAGCATGATATACCAAAGTTGTTACTTCATTTTCATCATCAATTTCTTCTCCAGTAAATAAATCAAAGTTCAATAATACTATACCAGATTGCCTTTCTTCATTTTCATCTTCATCTTCATACACAGAATTAACTATAACAGTAACAGTTAAGTTTTTATTTAGTATGGGGTTTTGATGTTGAAACTCTTTCTCAGCACCTAAATCCAACAACAGTCCCTCGTTTTTCATAGAATTTTCATCAAAATAACAATCCATTCTAATTGTCAATATATATTTAATCAAAGAAACATCATTATTATAATCACTTTCTAAAGATGAAATCAAAAATCTTATTGTATCAAAGGTTGAAGTAGAGTTTTGAAGTTTTGTTGATTGTTCATAATCACTTGAAAAATAGTAATCTAAAAGTTCAATTTGAATAAGAACTTCAGAATTACTAACAAATTCTTCTATAAGGGAATCAATAAACAAAGTGGAAATTTTAGACCTATCCATAATATTTTCTGCATAATTTTCATCTTTTTCTTGATTTTTATTTTCTATACAGGTTCTATATGCTTGAAGTGCAACTGAATTTACCCTTGTAACATAAGTAACTAAAAGTAAACACAATAAATAAATAAATACAATTTATAGTTATGTAATACTATACAATTTTTTATCATAAATAATAGATTTTTTATTACTCACCAAAATCGATCATACTTGTATCCAAACAATCTAAATCTAACATCATTTCTGATAGAATGGAAGTATTTTGCAATATATTTTTGTTCAATACTTTTACAACATATCTATTATTTCTATTATTAATGATAAATTTCTTGTTACGTGTATTTGGCAGTACAGATGGAAAACAAGTACTAACTGATGCCAACAAAACATTTTGTTCCTTTGTCGAAAATCCTAAAAAATATAGATATTTCCAATTATTAAAGAATAACAATTAAAATATTTAGATCAATTTTATATTATATAGTAAGATGTTCTAAAATAATTTTGAAATAAATCTCATAAGTATCATTTAAATAAACTATTTATTCCTGGTATTCTAATCTAATAGTCATCAAAGCCAATATTTATAGAAAACAAGTACAAAGAACTTAAATACAACAATATAAATTTTATTAAAATATAAAATATTGAATTTTAGATCTTTTTATATAGTTCTAAAATTGATTTATTTAATTAATTAAATCAAGTCAAAATATTGTTTTATTATTTTATACCATTCTATTTAAAATAACAAAATTACAGAGTTTTACTAAAATTATTTTATTGCTATTGTAATAGAGAGTTAGAAAGGACAATTATACCTTTAGTATGTAAATTATCTTCACTGCCAGGACTACAATGAGTAGACATTTGAATCCTCTTACAACTAATAATGGTATGTAGTAAAATTAATGGTGTGATAGATTGATGATAATAATCATTCAAATCAAAATCATTTTGTTCTAAGACCAAAAGTTCTGTTTGTATATCCCCATATTCTGAATCACAAAATGTATTATTTGTTATTTTACATGTGTCTGATGATTTTTCTAATTGAGATAGTTGTTTATATTGAGCAAATGCATTTCTACAATTCAATATATAATTTTGTTGATTTTGATTTAACATCATTTGTTGTTTTGATATTCTGGCAGTAGGATTCGAAAATTTGTAAAACTATAATTAAAAAAAAAAAGTTCTATTGACATATTAATAAATAATAAATTTTAAATGAATTAAGTACAAATGAGCCTATTTATTATAAATATTTGGCAATATTCTTTGTTTATAGTAGTAAAAATTAAGGAAATTTTCTACTTAATTTATTGAACATTAAGAATTTTTAAAAACCATGAAAACAATTTTTGCTATAATTATCTCACTAGAATTTTTAATTTAACATATACATTTTTAAATTTAATTACTTAGTCAAAAATTTAAAACTTTAAATATATTAAATATTAATAAAAAATAATGCATAAAATGATATAAAGAGACATAACTTTTAAAAAAATTATTGATTTTCAAAATTTTACAGAACATTAACGTTGATTATAACAACTGATTATCATTACTTACTTGATACTGTTGAAAACATGAAAATAAGTCATCTGCTAGGCTTAATAAACAATTATCATTGCACAAGGGATTCCACTCTTCTAATGAAGGAAACAGACAGCATTCATCTTCATTAGAATACAAAAATTCTGCAAGATATTGCTGAAATGATTGACTTGTAGAAATTGAATAACTTTCATTATATTCTCTTATTTCAGTTTGTATTATTTTAGAAGTATGACTGTTTGTCATTGAATGTTGGTAGTCGGTTCCAGATCTTTGACGCCAGTTAATTTTTAAAAAAACAATTTCTGGAGCTCTTTGTGGACGTGAACATTGAGTTATTATCATCCATTCAGAATAGTAACAAGAATCAGAAAGCACAACATCTGTAGATGTTTGAGTAGGTTTTAAGGGTGATGGGTCGATGCATAACTGTTGATCTCCTGAATAGCATGGAATAGATACAACAAATCTATCAAGACATCTCTGATTTAGTTGTTTATTTGTAGAGTCTTCTATACTCAAATCACATGAATTTAAATATTTAGGTGTAGAAGATTGAAATTGTGAAAGTATTATTCTTCTACCTAATGGTCCTAAAAAATTCAGTTAGATACATTATATGAGTAATTGTTATAATATCTAAATAAGGAATATCAACCTAATTTAAAGCTAATATCTAATTATATCTCATACCTAATTTATGTTGAGACAACTTGAATAGAGGTGAAGAAAGTCGTGGGCAAAACTCTTTCACACTATTTTCTATATATTGACAGTATTCTTCATCGAGCCAGTTTTCTTCAATACTAGAATCATCATCATTTGAATCCTGGTTTTGAATATTTTCATCCATCAGTCAACGATTCAATACACTAATAATCACTTTTAGGTTGAAAAATATTGTATTTGAAATAACGTTTGCTATATTCTATATACACACACATACAAAGTATTCTATAAATTACTTCAACATAAATTTATAATTTATATATATGTATAAAATTAAAATTACTCAATGAAAATAATACAGCCGTATTTTATTAAATAAATAAATATAAATTCTTATCGTATAATGGTATACAATATTTATCATAATAAATTATTGAGTTAATTTGGTTGGAAAATAAGTATTTCTGTAATCACCAAAACTATTCTTATCGCTAAAATATTTTCAGTATGATAACAGTTTAATCGAGGATCGTGGACTCATAAATAAATACATATGAAGGGTACAGGGAAAAAACCGACTAAGTCACTTTTTTTCACAAATGAATATTATGGTATCATTAGTTTCAGCTAGAGACACTGCACATTCTGACAGGTCGAAACAGGAAAATAATCAACTATATTAATAGATATTAGCGCTCAAAGTTTTGGTGTACAGGGAAAAAACCGACGAAGTCACGTCGTCCAGTGTACTAACTGCTTAATTCAACATTTTGAGTGTAGATTTCAGTACGATTTTAGAGGTAATTAGAGAAAAGGCAAGTGTTATTAATCTGTTGTTATTGCGGCGTGACCGGCGTTTTTCATAACGTGTTTAACTACAGTTGTTGTATTAATATAGCGTTGTACATAACGGCTTCAAGTTTTTGAATTATATTTGGTAGTTCTTGTCATACAAGCGCATTATGTCTGAAATAAGTGAGTCAGAGGGCAATGTAGTTCTTAAAACTCAAGCACGAAAAAAGAAAAGGACTGGTCGCTTATCAGAAGTAAGTAAAAAAATAAAATTATCGTCACATGAAATGGGAGGTTCTTGCAAATGCACTCGATTGAAATGCTTTGAAACAACATCAGAGGAAGAAAGGAAAATGATACTGCGCCATTTTAACTCACTTAGCTCACATAATGATCAGAATAATTATTTGGCGGGTTTGATTGTAACGCACCCAGTGCAAAAACGCAGGCCTCGACTAAATGAAAGCAGTGCCACAACACGTGATGCTTCTTTTTCGTACAGGGTACGAATCCAGGGTGAAAATTCTGTCCAGAGAGACATACCTGTCTGTGAAAAAGCATTTCGTGCAATTCATGGTATAACACACAGTAAACTTGTTTATATAAAGAACAGTCTAAAGTTATATGGAGTTGCTCCTCAGGATAAGAGAGGTAAACACNAAAACCCTTATCCAAAATTATTAATTTGTCCAATGCATATTTGTTACAATTAACAATTTGTCTGTAATCGTAGTTACAACAAATATATACCAAAAGTATAGTTGTCCCAATAAATATTAAAAATTTATTAACAAATTTTGTCCCAAAGTTATCTTTTTCAAAATACTTTATTTCATACAAATTTGTTAAAATAAATATTTTATCTATCTATTGGAATAAAGTAATATTTTATTAAAAGTTTATTGTGAGGTGGATTCTTTAATAAAAGATAAGAATTACAAAAAATTAAAATTAACTATTTTAAGTTCAAAGATATTATTAGAGAACTTTATAATACTTATTTAGCATTTTAATTACAATAATTTGCTTTTTTATTTGTTAATTGTGTACATTGCATAAAAAAAATTACATTTAATACTAATATTGTCTCAGGATAGCACTATAAAAGAGCTAAAAGCTCTTAGATTTTTTTTCTATTATCATTTTCCTGTCTAGATATTTATGCTATGAACGTTTATTTTTGAAGTGTTGTCAACAAAGTTTTTTTAATTACCATTGTGAATAATCACTACGATTCGGGGTTCAATGCATTTATAAAATTTGTTTGGACCACTTTTGAGATACCCGACTACATGATAATTTGCTATAAGTATATTCAGTACCACAGGAACTTTTTTATTCTAGAATGAAGGGATTAAACTGTACACTCCATGTATAAATTTCTAACTTATTTGAATTTATTAAGATTAAGCAAAACAATCACGAATATTTATTTATCATTGATGTACTCGAGATAACTAAAATGAAAACTATAAATGCATAAGTCCGAAATCCTAATAATTACATATATGTGATTCTCATATTGAATTTATTTAATAAAAATTTATCATAAATATTTGTTTTGTGTTTTCTTGCAATGGTAGATATACTATATCACAATTTAAGGTTATAATAGTATTTTCAGATATTACGCGCATTTAATAAATAAAATTGTTGGTACTAAATTTTATTAAATAGTTGATTAATCGACCCATAGGAATTAACACATTATAAAGGATTTCAAAATTATATTATAATGAGATCACAACGTATTTTATATATAGATCATAAACTCGCAGGTTCATTAGATAATTATAATCCAAAAAGGAAGGTATTCATCATATTTATATACATAAAGATTTAAAGAAGTAAAATCTAGAATATAAAGATCTGATATGTGTAACTTTTCAAATTATTTTAGACAAAATTTAGATAGTTAATACTCATTTTCAAAAGTCTTAGACACGTAGTTATCAAGTATGGATAGCCTGGGTCCACAGGAAATTTATGATAAAAATAACGTTAGCCTAAAGGTGGTTTAAAATATAACTTTAGTTATATTTATAATAAACATTTTAGGGGTTGTAAATAATGAAAAATATCTAATTTTGTAACATTAATTAAGATATTTTCAAGGCAGACTTTGAAGTAGCGATGAGAAATAATTATTAGTAGATATCGAAATATTCGATAGTTATCCAATCTTTCGAATAATTTTTAAACTTTCGATAGTTTTTAAATATTTGATAGCTTATGATAAAAATAAAATATTTGGTTGAATTAGTAGCAATTTGTATCAAAGGTCTGAACAAATTAATGACAAGTAAATAAATGTTTGTATATTTTGTTGTCAATGCTTTTCTAATTTAACTTTTATAGTGAAATCTTATTCAAAATACACGTTATATTTTATAAATAAATTTATTAAATAACATGTATAAGTAATAATTAAAAAATAGGTAATGAACCAAGACATGGTTAAAAGAAATGAAAATTTCGCTATAAAACAATTTATCGGTACGAAAATTTCCAATTGGAAATTGTGTGTAGAAATGTTACTTGAAAAATTTGGTAGTAAATATTATGTTAATAGAGTACTTTAAAGAGGTGCTAAACCTGAAGAAGAAATTAAATGGAAGAATGACGTTAATAAGTGTTTGTGTGACAATAAGAAAACGTATAAGTGTATCATGTAAATTATATTTAAGAAAATGACTCTTGACATTGTAGTATGATAATGAAATAAATTTAGAAAGTCATTATCTAACATTTAATGAACTAATACGTCAGCTCAGGAAAACAGTTGAAAATAAAAAAATGTAGATACTATTTGTAATTTACTACTAATCATTCCTGATAGTTACAATACTATAATAATTACTAAGACTTACATAACATAAAACTATAAATATTTACATTAGTAGTATAAATTTGTAAATTTAGGAATAAAATTTTTTAAAAATGTAACAAAAAAATTTTATTTATGTAAACATTTAAAGAAAAATGCATTTTCAAATATATTAACAACATTTTCTAATTACATTAAACTTCAAATGACATTGAAACAACATTTTAATGACTTGTGTACCACCAAGATTTAATAACAGATATGTCTAATCTGATGACTAAATCGTAGCAAATAGTTTTAAAGGTGTGAATAAATTAGTATCAATTAGTATACGAAGTGTGAACTAATATGTAGCAATTAGTTATATTAGTTAAGTATAAAAATAACATAATTCACATTTCACCTATCTAATATTAAAATAATTATAACGTAATAATGTGTTAAAAGTTGTCGTCAATGGTCCTTTTTTTTTTTAACTATTTATGCAGTAATATGTTACCAAAATGTTAGAAATATCATAGACTGGTAGTGGCACACACAATTAGAGTTAAAAAATTAATAAATAACAAAATTAGATTATTCAACTTTGTAATTGATATATCTATTTTGAATATCAAATCAAAATATATCAAATCTATTTTGGCAAATTTACATTAAAAACATTAGAAATTAATGATTTTAATTGTCTATATGAAGAAAGTTAGTTAAGAAACTTTATTTAATAAAGAAGAAATTTTTTTAATTTTTGAAAGTAATATTTTTAACTTGATACTATTTGAGATCTTTTGACATACCGTTGAGAAAAATCAGTCCAGCGTAATCTCAGAAAAAGTAGTGAAAGACAAAAATAAAATAAAAAAAAATAATCATATGGTAAGTAAACCTTCTAATACCTTTTCAGCTTCGTTTTGAAGCTTAAAATACTTCACTTTTTCTTAACTTATTCATTCTCTTTGTTAATCATGGATACAAATCAATTTTATTAGTCATAATTGTCTTATTATTAACTAACGTATTATTTTTTTCCGCAATCCCTTCCTATTGTATCGTAGTTTATAATGACTAGCAGTTAATGTTTTTACACAAAATATTATACTCACACTGCGGATCTCCTGTATATCTACTTATTATAGCTATAAATGAAATTGTAAATCTTAGTTTCTGTAACGTATAGTTACTAAATTATTCATAATTACTTAAATTAACTTATTAATTTTATTTTTATAACAGGATATGACAGATTACATACTACAAGAGTTGTAGGGAGGTTAAATAAAAATACTTAGCAAGGTATTATAATTTAATGAATTACTAAAAGGTTTGTTCTACTATAGATTATGTTATACTAGAAAATGAATCGTTAAGGAAATTACAATTAATTTAAAAGAAACCCACAATGTGTATAATAGTGATTAAACATATTTCGTGTTTATATTAAGATGTAATTTACATCATTCATTTAATAAAATAAATATATAACTTAAGTACAGTTTATAAATCATATCTTATTTCTAACCTTACATCTATATTAGTACAATAATAATACGTTTATTTTTTAATCGTGATACCATAAAATAGTGTAATTTACACTAGGAACTTAAAAATGTAACAGTAATTTTATCATGATATATCTATTAAGTTTTAACGGCTATGACTACAGAAAATTCTCATTTTTATTTTTTGATTTAAACTTCTTAAGAATTTCATCAAGAGATTTGCCTTTTGTTTCAGGAAGAATAAATGCACCATACAAAGCACTTAGCAAACAAAATCCAGCAAAAATAGTCCATACTAATTTTATTCCCAAAGTCAAAACAAGAAATGGATAAACTTTTGTTGCTAAAAATACCAATTCATATCCAAGAGAATGCATAACACCAGTCATAGTACCTAAAAAACGGCAGAAAATTTTTTTTTTAAAAATGTAGTGACTATAGTTGTAAATATTAGTGATGGGAAATATCGAATAATAACTATCGAACTATTCGATAATGATTCAAAAAATATTCGATAGTTTATGCTAAAAATAAACTATTCGGTTATGTAAACACAATTCGTATAGTTATACGATAGTTCAAAATATTTGAAAATGCCGATTACTAATTTTTACTATAATTAATTGTACAATAATTTATTTTAAGTATTCGTTAATTATCTTCTTATTATAATTAAGTGTACTTAATAAAAATTTTAGATAGAACTAAATGAATAGTTTTTTTAACTATTCGATAGTTTACTCGAATATTTTTCAAAACTATTCGATAGTTTATTCGAATAGTTTTTAAAACCATTCGGTAGTTTATGCTAAAAATAAACTATTCGGTTGTATAAAAACAATTCGAATACTATTCGATAGTTTATAATATTCAAAAATGCCCATCACTAGTAAATATATGAATATACTAATTAGTAATAATTGAAAATAGTTTTAAAATAATTTCATGAAAAATTGTAGTCTCGAAAAGAAAATATAAATGCTTTAAGTTATACATATATATATATATATAAATATGATTTTGTATCAAATAAAATAATTTGAAATTTTTATTAAATCAGATATTAAAAAATATATATACATACACAATAAATGTTTTTTAAATGTATTTTTCAATCATGTCACAAATACTTTTAAAATATATTTGGAACATGTATTCGAATATTTCAAGAAAAAGGTATAAAAAATATAAATTTTTAAATACTAAAAAAATCCTTTTTTTTAATCACTTATTTTAATTAACTTTTCAGAGAATTAATTTATAGAAAACGCAAACTTACGGGGTTCATATTAATATAAAACAAAATAGTGAAATTATCTACTTTTCAAAAGAACATTTATTCTCATATACTCTATGTATGATAGTGTTTTACCTACGAAAAAATTGATTTAACATTAAAATAGTCGTTGAAAAAATACATTCATGGTAGATTATTCATATATAAGTTTTTCCCATTCTATATCAATGCAAGCGAGTATAAAAGGTCGGCATCGAAACAATCCTAAATTGGCAACTTTAATGATAAGTTGTTGACTGAAAAAAATATCTTATGCTATCAGAAATACTGAAATGGCCCCCCTAAATTTTTTCTTGGATCTACGCCTGTCTCAACTACAAAAACTATTGAGTTCAAAATAAAAATAGTTAAGCGTTCCAAAATGGTTTGATATTTTAGTTCCTATAGCTAAAAATAAAATACAAAAAAAATATGAAAAGTATTTAATATTTCAAATGTAAATACTATTAAAAATATTTTTTAAATTTTCAAAATGAATTTTGTTAAAATTATTTGTAATATTAAAAAAACATTTAGTTACAACTTTTTGACAAGGCTGATGTTTTTATGTTAAAAGATCTATTTTACTAACTTTAAAATTATAAAATATCAAAAAATATTTAACAATCACAATTACAAGCATAGATTTATAATAGAAAAGTTGTTAAAAATTTAAATAAATTAGCATCGCTTACCTTTTACAGACATAGGAAACAATTCTCCACAAATACTAAAGGGCAATGACAGCATTCCTAACAATCCAAAAAATACATATACAAGGAAGCCTGCAACAGGTATAAATTCGAAAGGAGGCCGAACAACATCCTCAAAGATGTACATGTAACTTATTATTGATAGTAGACCTACAAACATTCCTAGACTAGATATTACAACTAACGTTCGACGTTTCGTCTCATATTGCAATGTATAAACAATGCTCCCTATTATCCTAGTGATTGACAAATAAGCAGCGAAAGACAATGGATCGACAGACACATGACAATCCTTAACGACGTCTATCGAATAAAACAGTAATACGAAAAATCCTGTGCCTTGTTGACATACGAAAAATATTAATGAAATTAGCGCTGGCATCCACACTGGTCGACTTGTATAAATAGACCACTTTAATTCCAGAGGCTTCTGCGAGCATAATGTTTCAGTGACTTCAACAGAATTAGGCATCAGTTTTGGGTCACCACCGAACCATTCTTCTACACGTTTGGCTTCCGAATACCGACCCCGAGATCTTAACCACAAAGGCGTCTCGGGGACAAGAAATAGCAAAAGCGCGCCTCCAATTGTTATCACACAAAAAATTTTTGATAAATCATTCCAAGTGAAAAATATGGCCAATATTGATAAGGTAAGCATGCCAAAGCCAACAAGCATTATCACTACACCAAAATATAAAGGTCTGTATAAAATTGGACTCGTTTCAGCTATATATAAAATGACATAACCACCTGTACCTATAAAATATAAAATTGTTTTAATTATTTATTTATCATTTATTAAAACATGTAAGTAGTTCATAATGCGCGTTATAAAAAAAATAATACATCATTATCGTTAATTGATACATTTTTTTGAATACATAAAATATATTATTTGACTTATAAGCTTAAGGACTAAAAAATTGATTTAACTATAATCAGTTAAAACAATCGATTTTATATTTTTAATTATTTGAGTAATCTGTAAGTATCACGGAAGTGGTGTAGCACAGGTGGATTATTCAGGTTCTGCCTTAGCGATGATGTTCAGGTGCTTATTGCTGTTGGGTTCCGGATAGGTGACTATGAGGAAACTTTGACAGTGACACAGACTTTACCCTTTTTTACTGATTCCTTCAGCCATAAAGAAGTTTCGTCAAGTTGACAGCTGGTATAAACATCCTTTCAAATCATAAGGTAGAGCCGACTCTAAATAATTTGGGATAGAGGCTGAGAAGATGATGAATCTATATGTATTACGCCTTAGTACAGTGGTTCTCAACCGGGGTGACATGGATCCGGTGTAGGGGTGACACGAAAATCTCGAGGAAAATTTAAAAAATATTAAAATTATTTCGAAAAAAATCGTTTTACTGTAACGACCGTCATGTGATTGCCACCATTTTTAAACAACTCAATAATTGTTTACACTGAACGGCACAGGTACCACGAAATTCTTATCTCTACGTTGTTTCTATTTTAAGTTTACACTTCATACTTAACACTATAGATCCGATAATTACGTCCGTTAGACGTGTGACAACGCTGCGTTATCTGAAACGAGTTTCAGTCAATTTTCTGTCGTTAGTATAAAGTGTTTGATAGTGTTTATTTTTCGTTGACAAGAGTTAATAATAATTTATTTGTGAAAAATTGACAATATTATTATTAAATATTATTTTGCTATAATCTGGATAAATTTATTACTCAGACCTCAAAACAGATTGAAAGGTCATCATCAACTTTTGGAACGTCAAATTAGAGTGAAGACTCATCATCAACTTCTGGGACTTTAAAATAGAGTGAGAATTCCCTATCGACTGATCGGCCGTCAAAATATACTAAAGTGTCGGTTGTACGATAAATCGTATGTATCCATTGGTTTCACATGGTGTGGTCCAGAAGATGAACTTATTCCCGAATGTATCATATGTGGAAATTAATAATTAAAAATACAATTTTTGTTTTAGCTTCGATGCGAAGCTGAGAAGGTATTAACTTTTTAATGTTATAACTTTTTGAAAAATGTTTGAATCAATACAATTTTTTTATAAGAAATAATATTTATATACTTTTTTCATTCGACATACTTTTTTTTTAAATAAGACTATTTCCTTTAATACAGTGGGGGTTCAAAATATAAAAACGCATATAGACAGTTGAACTTTTTTAACTTAATTTTTGAAAGTGTTCCGGAAATACTGACACTTTTATATATATCTTATGTAATATACTTTAATATTAAAAAAAAAAATTCGGACTTTATTTTGTTTTCATGGTGAAAATAGCTACCGTATTCAAAAATATGTTATTTTTGTGTTAAAATTCTTGGTTTTGTATTTTATTTTATTATAAAGGGATTACACTGATTTTCATAAATATTATATCAATCTAATTGACATAGTATAAAAAGTTAAACATATCTAAATTTTTTTGTTTCTTTGAAGTCGAGAAAAATAACGTTAAAATTTAAACTAGCTAAATTTACATTTTTATTAAGTGACGATTGCGACGTATGATTTCTGAGACGGTAACACTTGGGTCTTTCACGCCTGTGGCACTGAATTTTTTCTTAATTCTTTTTGAGTTAGAAAAAAATGTTTAACTCATTTGATTTTTATCTCATTTAGATTCAATAACTTCAATAAATATGAAGGATCCCATTACTGTAGTCTACTCTCGTGAGAAGAAATTCATATTAATATTATTTTACTAAGGGTTTTTTTTTGTAGCTATCATTTATTTTTTCAGCTCTCACTTGACCTACTTTTTTGACAAACTTTTTATTTAAATTAAACACTATTTACAGATTTGCATCGAAGCGTTCTTTATGATAGTGATTTTAATCACTGTCAGATATCATCTATACTGGACCCAACTATGCCACGACCCCCCACTGTGCTGGGTTTTTTTTTCAAAATTTAAAAATAGTCATTTTTTAGGCCTTTTCTTACAAAATATTTTGATGGTTCAATAACAAGTTTAGGACAAGTACTCATTGCAAACAATTTAACACATAGAATGGATATGTAACGCAGGTGGAGTTGGCGTTATAAATATACACCAGTACGAGCTGAACTACATATCTACTCAATGTATTTAAATGCTTGCAACTCAATGAGTACTTATCTTAACATTGCTATCGAAACATTAAAATTTTTTTGTAAGGGCTAAAAAATGACTACTTTGAAATTTTGAAAAAAATAAAAAATTGTATTTTTACTTTATTCCTTATTAATTATAAATAATAAAAAAAATGCTTCAAAAACATAGATTAAAAGGGCAATAATTATTTAAAATAAATTATACGATGATAACTGGATCAAATGCTATAATGGTTGTCACTTAGATCTGGTTAACTCTGTATGGGGGAAAAAAAGAGTTTAATTTATCTTTTTTCAAGTTGAACTAGTAGTATCTGTCTAGTATAATTGTTTGTGCTAAGTGCAAAGTTTGAATGACGGCATAGGTGCGATAAGTTCATAACACAACCATCTTCTCCACCGGCCAGATTCTGTTATCTATGACCGGTGTATGTTGGCCGTTATGTTTTAAAAGTCGTATACAAATTTAAAGTTAGATAGTTTTGGTTAAGTTTAGTTAAGTGATTATTGGCTAAGAAAATTTTTTTTTTAAATCTGCTTTAGCGAGTTGTAGTCGAATGCAATTAACATAATACATAGATCAAAACTTTTCGTATGGTCGAACGACGAGATATCCAGTATATTGCCGTTAGAATATTGATCAAATTAATTGAAGACTAAAATGATAAAACATAATATTAAATATGACTTATTAATAAGGTAGTTTACATGCATGATATAAGTAGTAAAATGTGATGTCATGTGTTTACTGGAACGGTCGAAAATGCAGGCGACCTCCAACGCGAATAATACCATTTTCAATAATAAAAGATGAAGTTATACAATTAATCATGCGTTATTATATTTTAATAAGAGTGTAATATTTTTAATAAGATGAAAAAATGTGTACTTTAAGTAATAAAATAATTAATAATTTGAATAATAAATTTATTAAAAACTAACGTCCCGCAGAGGAACAAAGAGTGCAGTATAATACATTAAAAAAATTATATTAGTTTAAATATAACAATGAATAAAAAATTTCTTAAATATTATTAAATACTATATATTTTGGTTAAGAATCATCTTTGACTGCCTAACACATAATTAAAATAAAGGTATTAACAAGATGTAGTGTTTGAGATAATAAAAGAGCATCGCTAAGTTCCAAACAAAAAATTGTTTATTAATGATGCTACATTTTAAAGGTGCTACGTTAAACGTTAAACTTTTATTAAGCTACCATTGAATAGCATTCAGATCAAATGATTTTCAATTTTTTGTTCGGTGGTAAATATTTTATTGATAGGTATAAGTTCTTTTATCTTCTAAAACAGACGTAATTGTGTATATTTAAATAAATTGATTGCACTAATTACAGCAATAATAATAATCAGTATAATTTGAACTAATTTTTTTTTATTGGGTTTTTAACAAGTTTTCTTAATATAATAGCTCTAATCAAATATCTTAAAAGTGGAGCAACAATATTAATATTTAAACATTTAAATAATATTGAAATTTGAAAAGCATATTTTAAATAAAACATATACTAATGCAATTTACGATATTTAATGCTGTCAGATTTAAAATATTTATGCTTCTTTATTTACATTTATAGTTTTTTTTAGTTAGTTATGTTATATATTATACAATGACATTAAAATTTTTAAGTTTGAAGTTAACTAATTTTCATTTGATGATTTACCTTTTTTTCGATAAATTATTATTGTAGTTTAATTACTTCAAATCTGACCTCTATCAACTTAAAGAAATTAATAACTGTAAGTAATGTAAAAGTAGCGGTGTTATCAGTACCTTTAGAGACCTATGGGTTAAATTAAATTTTATCTATCATGAATTTGTAAATAGGAATATATAAAATCTCGCATACACCTTCAGTAATGGTAATGTCAAGCTTGATAAATAAAATAGTTCACATTTTTTAATGTTAACTTTGTATAGAAATATAAATATAAAACAGTATAACTGTTAAAAATCAATCAACCCTCTTTTAAAACAAATAAAAATAGTTTAACACTATGATATTGAAATTATTTAAATTATTTATTATTTAAATAGAAATGTGATAAAATTAAAGAAATTTAATTTATGAAACAAAATCTATAATAATACGTTTATTATATGAATAAATGATGCAATGTAAATGTATTAATGTTGCGTCATTTTTTCATTTTATAGTTCATCAATATGGTTAAAATTTCATGATACTTATGGGAAAATGATTATTTTGGAAAAATTAGTCTAGATGAATAATTTTCTAATAAAATTGTTCATTAAGAAATGTTAAGTAATAAATCATAATTTTTATAATAATACCTTCTGTGTATCCAACTAACATCCGAGCTATTATAATGGAATTGTAGCTATCATAAAATCCTAGAATGGCCCAACTAGCAATCATTGGTATGAAAGAAGTTTGTAAAGCCTTTCTTCTGCCAATTTTATCTGCTAGAATTCCCGTTATTAACGAGCCAACTGGACACATCAAGTTAGGCAAACTAGCTATTAATCATATAAAAATACAAAAAGTTAATTATATAATTTATTATACAATACTGCATAATAGTATCATTTGTTATTATTAAACTGGTGTAGCTGGTACATTTATAGGTTAATTTTTTCAAATAATAAAAAAATATTGATTTTACATGTAGACAATTTTAATTAACAACCTAAGTAAAGTTTATATTTAAAACATTAATCGTCGTAAATTTATTAAGTTTCTGAATCCAAACTAACCAATTTTTTTTCCAAGTACAATCGTCTATCAATACAAGAATATTAAGGGTATATTTTTCGGTTGAAATTTTAGTAACATCCTTAGTTTTGAAGAAGTGACATAATTTATTATTAATACTTCACAATAAAATATTCAAATATTAGTAGCTAAAAAATTATTACAAAAACCAAATATTGAAATAAAATAGCATCATTACTACTTAAATGAAAGCTGTGGAAGTAGATAAAATGTTTGGCAAATATCCAAACATAAATATTATCTTGTTACGCTGTTTTGAATATAAAAACCAGTTTATTACAAACGATAAATTATAATTTTTTTTTTTGACAATTACTTTTTATTTGATCCTACAGTGAATAATGTTAAAGCAGTTATAGTGGATTATAATAACCACTGTGTGGGCGAAATTGTCATAGTATAATTTATGAGAAACTTAAACTCATAACTACGTGGAAAATTATAATTAATTATTAGAATTATCTAATTATTTTCACATTTTAAGTCTAAGTAATTGATAATTATACATATTAAACTAATAAAAAATATTTAAATATGCATTTAAATATGTTTGTTATATCAACACAATTATGGAATACATAAGGAGTATTACCAGAGCAATAACAATTTATTCAGTTAAAAAATGTATGTCAGTGATAATAAAATTAAAAAATTATCTTTCTCAAAGTTAAATTTAGCTACCAATCCATGATGTTTGCTCCGTAGTAAGTGTTAATGTTGACGATGGGTCTCTAAGTTTTTCAAAAAGTATACCAGAGAATATTAATACTCCTCCGATGATAAATTGATGAATACTCATTGCACATGTGGTAAATGACTATAAAAAAGTAAACATAAACCCAATACCTTGTTATAATAGAAAAATATTGTTTGTACTTACGAGTTTTAATATAGGTAGACTTCTCCATTTCTTCATATTTGCTAATTAAGTACCTAAAATACCTATACTTTTTAAACTAATTTGATATAACTAATAATTATCTAATAAAACTAATCATTTGCAAATGATAATACAGAATATTATATTAAGAATTTATACTCAACATAAAATGTTATCTAGAAGTAAACGTTGTAAGTTGATCTTCCCTCTTTAATAAACATATAAGAGCACTGTATTTATACTTAAGATTGGTAAACTGCTCCACCTAAAACTGTATAGGGTGGGGGTTAAGATCAATGAATAATTTTGTAGATTCATTCGATTTTATTTTATTATTTTTATTTACTAAATGTAGTTGGACATAAATCAAAAACACATAATAACCGTTTAAACATTTCATAACTGAAAAATATTTTTAATTTAAAAAAATTTTTAATTAATAAGATTGTCTAGAATTTTGTTGAAACTATTTGTTCATGAATAATTAACACTGTGTTTCCATTTATTATTTTTTGTATTGAATCACATACATAGTTATCAATAAAATACGAATAAATACAGATCCAAAGAATACTGTTTTCTTATCTTCTCTAGTATTATATAAATGAGTCATTTTGTTGTATAAGCATCAAATAATCAACAAATAAATTCGCATTAGTGCAAGCGTGTGAATTCTAAACAAGAAATGAAACTGTTCTCTTTTCAGTTAAATGCAATTATTATATTATAACTCTTGTATATAATAAATATGTATGAGGCACTCAGACCTGAGAGATCAAAGTAACGAAAAATTAATTTTGAGATAATTGAACATAAATATTGATAAATCTTATTTTATTTTATTTGCTTTAGAGAATAGAAAATAAATGTTTAAAAAAATCCACAATGATCTTTATTTGTTCAAAAAGTTATTATTTTACTTTTTTCTATACTTGAGTTATTACTCTAAATTAATGATATTTCAATGCAAGTTTACGGATCTATTACGCAAAGGTATTAATGTTTTAAATTTTCAAATAGTTTAAACCATTTTTTTTATAAAACAATAGATGTACAATTTTCAATTTAAAAACGTATTTTTAAAAAAAATACATTGACTTACAAATTAAATATTTATATTCAAAAATAATAATTATTTAATTAGTATTTGAAATAGATGATCAACACAAAAAGGTTGTTATATATGTAAAAGTGACTACAACAGAAAAGGCATTTCGTCCTACCAATTACAAACTATTTAAATATTACTCAATTTAATTTGTGTTTTAATAAAAGCACAGGTTAATATCTAAAGAATCAACCTGACTTAAGTAATGTATATATTATAGTATAATGGTTCATTTTGTTGTTTTTATTCAATTTTTTTTTTTCGTGTCATTTAATTGAATTAATTATTGAAGAAGTGTTCATCATTTAAGAAATAATAAAGTACATAATTTTTATACACGACGTAATATTTACAAAGTTTAAGCTGCAATTCTCTCCGTTGCAGATACTATCGACAAAAACTTTTGGACCAGTATCTCAGAAGTTATTACCAATTTAAAGTAATGACTGCAGGTGAGGGAGTGGGTGCTGCTATTTTTATCATTAGACATTCCTTGGCCTCACTTCTCTTCCCGCCTAGGTGTATAAATGTTGATAACTTTTGAAAAACCGGTCCAAAAATTATTATTGACCAGTCATTATCTTAATTAAATAGTTTTCTATTTTATTCGCTAGTAAAATATATATGATTCCATTTAAAAAATTAAACTAACACCCATATAAAACATAAGGGATGCATATAAAAAATATTTCATGACAGATAAATGAAGAACATATGTAACTAACAAAAGCCAAAAAAAAAATCACAAAAAATTATTATTTCGAGAGAATTGAATGGTTAGTGTTAAATATGGTTAATAGTAAAATTTTATTTTATAATGACGTTTTATGACAAAAAAACTGTTATTTGCGATTTAGAAATTTACTTAATAATTAATGCTAACTGGAAAAATGTTAAACATAAAAATAGACAGTGCGCGATGGTTGATTGTTTCTTATACTATAATGTGAAAAAACTAAACATGTATTATGTTGTACTCACGTTCTTTCGGCCTGTTAATGTAGATATTACATAATAAGAAAAACCTAACTATATTGACAAAACTAATGCTACTTAAATATAGATTATTTAAAATAAAATATGACGAGATGTTCATACAGTTTTGTATTTGAAGTCATGTGTTAAAAATTATTCACTTCTATTAATGTAATAATTAGTATTATAGACTAGTAATGAGTTATATTTCACTAGATTATAAAATAAAAGATGATATACAAGTTGTATAAATTTATTACTCTACTAACTTGTTTAACTGCTAAGGATTTTTTGACTGCTATAACAATCATTGTCGTACAACTCATACAGTAAGTATAAACTGACTAGTCCTACTATCAACTTCTAACCAAACATAATTTTATGCATATAATTTATACGGAAAATCACACACTGATGTTATCAAATATCTTTATCATTGAGTTAAAAATTATAGTTTATATAATAACTAGATTTAGCTATGAATTATTACAATTATTTTTTGTGGTATATAAAATATCTTTTATCCAACATACTTTTATACTTTAATTTAAAATACCATATAAATGGGAAACTACAATGAAGGGATCATTTTTTTTCATTTATTTGAAATTTAAACTGAATGATTTATAAGTATGATACATGAATAAATATTTAATATACTAATTAAATTTAGTACAGAATTTATATTGAATTTAGTATAGCAAATTTTTACGGAGATATAAAAATATATAGGTTGTTGTTGTATACAAACTAATTCTTTTAATATTAGTCCATTCGATTACTCTTGAAATGATGATGTACAAAAATTATTTTCGGTATTTTTTAATTTTATATATTACTTGATTTATTAATTGTAAAGTTTTTTTTAATTCATTACTTATAATGTGTCAACGTTATTTTGAACAACAACATACATATTTAACTATCTAATAAAAAAGAAAATTAGATAACTAAGAAAATGATTAATCAAAAATGAGTTTTAAAAAATTACCTCAGTAGTTAATAACATTTTTAAATATTAAGTGGAGGAAGAACATGGCAGAATAATAAGTTATGATAAAAATAACATAACCCATACTTCACCTCCACACAATATTTTAAAATAGCTATAACTTCCGAAATAATAAATTGAAAGTTGAAATCGGACAGTTATTTTCTAAATTAGGGACGGCCTAAAAGACGGACCGTCCACCACGGACTTCCAAAAACTTCCAATATATTCCAAAAAGTTCCAGAAAATTATAATACACATAATATAATTTGTTGGGGATACATTATGGTCGGGATGGGTTAATTATATATATTTAAATACGGTAGATATATTATAATAAGTACCGATGGCATATAGCTATTGCCCGTCCGCTGCGGCGTGTTCGCCTCGCTGTCGCATGACAACAATCTTCCATCCACCTGAAATGAGCTCAAATAACATTAAATGAAATCTACACGTATTTATATAGGTATAGAATTAAGCGTTTAGTCTTAACTACAAATAAACGTAGTTAATTAATAACACTAATGAACCCATGTTCTCACCTGATATATACTTACACAATTAAAAAAAAAATTGTATACTTTTTTTAGGTCGTAATTTATTAAGAAACTATTTGTTATAATTAAGTTCTATTACATTATTCATGCCCAAATCAGAAACAACGTTGTTAAAAATTATTATATTTTGAATTTACACATATTTTAATTAGTTTTTTTATTAAAATACCCTATGCTTGTGTATCCATATGTGTCTTTGTTATGATATTTTTTATGAATACTAAAAATTGAACTACTTATTAGCTTAAATAACGAAAAAAGTGCTTTTTTTACAAAATAATCACATAAAATATTTTAAACCTGTTGTATCAATGTCAATTGGAGATACAACAAAGTTGTATATTACAAGTTGTATATTATAGAATATTCTTATAGCTTTACTTAGATTTATCTAATATAGTATCTTACAATTATGTAACAGTTATAGAAAACATTAAGATGTTAAATAAAATGTTTTACTTCCTGCTTTAAAGAAAATATACTATATTATACTCCCATATGTTGAAATAAAAATGTGTCCTTATATTAAAAAATAAATAAAGTCCACTTTCAAAGGATGGTCAGTAGGAATAAAACAATTTTTATTTTCTTATAGTGTAGTAAACATTAAAATATGACTTTTTTTTATTGAAGACAGTGAACCGAATATATTATTCATTAATAATTTAATATATATATATTGATTTTAAATCGTATATTGTTTTTATTGTTAATAAACACGTTTACTTATTTACAATATTATTAACATCAATATATACTGGTACATCTTTTATTGATAATTGTTTTATTTTTAATTTGTTTTACTTATTATAAAAGGAAAGAAATTGATTAGATATATTTGTGAAGATTTACTTTTGTGCATTAAAAATTATTGTCTATATTTGAAACTCAAAGTTATTTTATTATTATTATTATCTGTATACAGAATGATCGGTTTATCATGAACCACTTGATTACTCGTAAAATAAATACAATATTGCAAAAAAAAAATTTAATTTCTTGATTTATCATCTAATAATTACTTTTAAAAATTATCCCTTATAACTTAGAAGGGCTTAAACTTTATTTTTTGTTAATGGCAACATACATATTTAACTAGCCTATAAAATTGAAAATAATCTTATTAAAACAAATCTACACGAGCAGAGACAGCGAAGATTATATACATTATGTATATTACATTAACAACAGCCAGTAAGTTAACGGAACAGTAATCGTTCATTACATGGGTTCTACGGAAAACGTACATTCTACGCACGGAACAGACGAGCGAATATTCACATAAAGTACATTCGTACAGCTCCATCGCAGTTAAAGGGCCAACGTGAACTGTCTCATCAACTGTCAGGCAACGTTTACAAAAAACTTGTTTGTTCCGGCGACATACTTCCTAGTCTCGAGGCCGTGTATCACCCGACAGACAAAAAACAAGTGAAAAACACATCGGATTTTTTTCAAAATTTTCAAATAATATTTTACGGTGCTGTTTTTGTGATATTAGTTATATTTATATAACTAATGGCAATTAGTTATAAAGACTGGCAATAGCATATACATCAGTAGCTATTATACAGTATAACTGCAGCCCCTGACCGTCCGGCTCACGGACTGTACAATCCGTATTTTATCCCTCTAAATTAGATAATTTATTATTTTATTAGCAAGTTAACCCGTAAATGATACAGTGCACTGTCATACACTGTATTTTTTAACATATCAATTAGAATATTGATAATATTACAAAGAGGTTATATATGTCTTTATAAAGGTCTACTATGTTGGATTCGTTTCAGCTACATGTATAAAACATAGCCACCAATTCTTGTAAAATTTCAAAAATAATAAATGCGTTTATAAATAATTATATTTAACTTTTCAAATTTCTTACTTATAATAGTATAATAGTTTTAGTCTAGGGGAATTTTACATAAGAAAACCTTTACTATAAAATTATTTAGGGTCTACCGTATAATTTACCTTTAAATATGCCTCTACACTACAAAGAATCTATGCTCATTAATTATTGATCAAAATTGAACATAATTATATTGTACATCATGTATATTTTTCAACCAAATCATTAAACTAAGATAACAATAGAGCTAAACCAAAAAGTAGTGTTAATAAGGAAATTTTTTAAAAGCTATGGAGTTAATAAGAAAGCTAAGTAGTACAAAATCTCCTAGAAATTGTTTATATATGAGTTTTTCAAATGACTTCAATTTCATCACAGATTTAAAAGAACAAAGTAAAAATAGACTGCATTTATGTGTTAACGTTTTTTTTTAGTTATATATATATATAAATTTTATTTTTAACAAAATAAAATACTATTCATAATTTATATAAAAAATAAAAATCAATTAATAAAATTTTCATTAATCAAAACTTTTGAGAACAATTTTACTAAAAAAAAATTAAATTTTATTGTAAAATTGATTGAATTTCAATCAATAATATGTAATAATATCATGTAGGCATGAAGGAAAAATTCGTAGCTTAAAATCTAAATAATTTCAGAATGATGTAGAAACATTCAAATAGGTTTATTAATATTTTAACTATAAATGAACTTGATGTTGTGTCTACAAGAATTACTGACTTTACTAAATATTATTAAAATGTTTAATTTTTCGAAATAGTATATTAAATATTGCTTTATTATTGTATGTTAAAATCAATATTAAAAGTTTCCTGTTAAAAACTTAAAAATTAGGGGAAAAATATGCCAATGCCGTAAAAACAGATAATAGTGACAATAGGTCACTCTTCATCCTATTGAGAGTTTTCCTATCAAGCTTCCGGCAGTCATACATAATTTCTTACTTCCAATTAGTATCAATTATAAATAATTATTCAAATTAAATTAATATTTAAATATAAGATTTAAATTGATTTACATTAATATAATTTTTTTATCTTAAAAAAATTTAACAATACAAATTTAAAATAGAGTAATTGCTTTTTTTAGCTATTATGTTAGAAAAGAGTAAAGTACATACTTCAAGTATAAAATAGAGAATAGTAGTACATATTGTATGTTTAAATTACTTGTATGTAATAAACTTAAAAATAAATCATAATTTCAGAACTAAATTTCAATACTTATTAATACTTAACTACATAATACTATTATGTAGAAAATATGATACATCCCTTTCTCTAAAAATGTATTAAGTATTAATATACCAAAAAGTACAACAATATGGGGTAGAGCATAATCATCATCATGCATTATTCAAAAGAATATTAATTTAAAATCTGTCGATTTTAATCTGTTTAAATCTTCAGAAGAATTGTTAACATTAAAAGGATCACTAAACTTTTACTAGCATTTAATATTTCATCTTGAACATAGCAATTAAAATTTTGTTTCGAAATAATTTTTATTGGTTTTATTAAAAATAAAACTTATATATAGGCTAGTGAATAATTTTTTGATATTATTTTATTTTATGGTAATATACTTTGCAAATTTAGTAAAACTAATATCCAGTAACTTCAAATTTCTAATATTGTAATAAAATAGTAAATAATTTAAATTTATTAATAGAACTAAGAATATTTTCTTAATAATATAATAATGTTTAATATAGAATAAATAATATTTATTTAATTATTCTGTTAATAAAAAATGGTTTTAACATTCTGGATAATTCAGTAAATTAAACTAATAAAAAT